ATCTGGAAGGGTGCATAATAAATTATATGAATGTATATGATAATTTGATATAAGTTTGGATAAGAAGTTACGATATATATAACTGAATTAAGTCATAAAATATCAAGGAGTGATATAGAAATTGTGAGGTTATTTTAGAGTGTAAGGGAAAAGTATATGTTTTAAGGAGAGGCTTGACTTTGACGGGGTTTCCTGGGGTTTAGAGAACCGGGGAGGATCCAACGTAAGGAAGGTCAGTGTCCTTGAAACTACAGACTGTTCTTTTTGGTTCCGCTGGGAGTGTTTGTAGAAGTGATTTGTGTCTATTAAGAATTGGTTAAAAACACCACGAAGGGATTCTTTGATGTGAGTACCTAGAAGTTTCTAACGTTATATATGTATTAACTTGCTCACCCAAACGTAGACGTACGTCATGGGTGGGGGAGTAATTAATATGGGTTTTCTAAGTTGTACCGTTGTTAGATCCTTTGGTAGTGATAACATTTAAGTAATTAACTGCCCATACGGAGTGGAATTTATAGACGTAAGTTGTAATATTGTACAAAGCCAATGTAGGGTTTCCATTTAACTAATTATTATTGTGGAGCTAGGATGGTGACGTGAAGGTGCTTCATTGTGTATAAGAGGTTAAGATGACAAACCATTGTCATTGCGCTATTTGTGGGATGTCTGTGTCATTTCAATAGCATTGGGGCAATGGCATAGAGTAAACAAATCTGGGTTTATGAGTGTCATTCAACTGTTGGTATGTGTTGCTTAGACAGAGACGAAAAAAGTATTTGGTTTGGTGATGTAGAAAGGAAGTCTTGTAGCGTGGTTTGGTTCAAATAGAAAGACTAACTTATTTAACAGGAATAGTGAGACGATTTCGTGGTAGTCATTTTTTGGAGTTACCTAAGGGTTTGATAGATTAAACGATTGAGGTGACGTAATGTCAGTGCATGGATTGGATAATGATAATATGGATAACTAAAACAAAGTTGCTACTGACTGTTATGAAGACAGGATAAAGTAGCATACTGTGCCTCACCTAACAATGTTCTGAAGATTTTTTTCAAAGGGCGAAGGCAACTCTGCCCAACCTAACAGGAGAATCTGGACATTGTATGCACCATGGAGACTATGTGGCAGTAAAGGATTACATAAAGTAAGAGCGGAACAGAATCTAGGTGGAGAGCAGTCTCTCTCTACTTCCCTATTGGTCCGCTGAAAGAAGGACACACTACACAGAGTGATGTGAACAGAAATTGGGAAGTATATTAGAAATTGGTATTAAGAATAATTGGTATAACATAATAATTTGTAATATAGTCAATGCTTATATGGTTTCTTGGATTAGAAATGAAATGAACTGTTATGTTCGGTCTTCTAGTGAGGTAAATACAGATGGTGTCTTGATGCATAGCAGGGATAATTTGGCCTAGAATGGTGTGAACCTTAAAAAGAAACAACCTCTGTACCGGCTGAAGATGAACATCAGAGGCGTTGAAGACGCTTTTTGTAAAGCACCACTTCTACAGGCAACCGGGGTAAAACAGACAATTGAAGCTATCAACGGATTTTATCATGTTTTTATATCAAGAGAGTGGGAAAGGAGTCCACCATTGAGTGAGAATGGAGAAATGTATGTTCAAATACAACATTTGTAATGTTGTTGGTATAATGGTTGGCAAATGGGCAAGACAAAGGAGGTTGTAGGGTAGGTGGTGACTTGGATGAGACATTGAAGTTGGGACATTGTCATGGGCAATTCATTTTGAAATATGAAGATGTCTGAAGAACATAATGAAGAGACGCCTGAAGATTTAAGTGCCGGGAAAAAGAAGGGGTTACTTAGCTGTGTTGATAATACATTTGGATTTATCTAAATTTGCTAATTTGAATAGGAGGTATATACACTGCTAAATTAATAGTATTAAGAATGCATTGAGAGGATGATCTGTATTTATTATCAGGATGAGGAAGGTCATAATATAATTATGGATATTTATACTGTAATATAAGTGTACATTCTGACAGTTGAAATGGGTGATAAAGTTGAGGGTTTTAATTTTGATTGATAAGGACCAAGTGAATCAATAAGAATTGTCATTCTAAATTTGGTTTTGGTTATAATATAAGATGACTGAGGGATTTAAGTAAATCATTAGTATATATTAGTAACTAACTATTTACAGCATGAAGGATATTGATTGTACAATTGAGATAACTGTCATATAGATATTGTGGTTGAATTTCTCAATCCTAACTAGTTCAGGGGTGTACTCATTTCACAGGGGCTGAAAACAGAGGGTTATACTGTGTCTCTCATCAGGCATATTAGGGGTTGAACAGTGTTGAATATTGTACCTATTAACAGTCATGGGTTTTCATTTACATTTACGTCATTTAGCAGACGCTCTTATCCAGAGCGACTTACAAATTGGTGCATTCACCTTATGACAGCCAGTGGGACAACCACTTTACAATATATGTTTATTTTTTTTATTTTGAGGTGGGTAGAAGGATTACTTTATCCTATCCCAGGTATTCCTTAAAGAGGTGGGGTTTCAAGTGTCTCCGGAAGGTGGTGAGTGACTCCGCTGTCCTGGCGTCGTGAGGGAGCCTTTCAAGCTATTGGTTCTAAGATGGAACTCATTAGACAATTTGCAATTGATAATCGCATAGCATTGGATGCAATTATAGTAGATAAGGGGGAATGTATGCAATTATAGGGGGAGAATCATGTTGTACATGCTTGACATCAGGATTAGTAAGGTATTGGAATTTAAGTAAAGCTATGGGAAATATTAGAGACATACAGGAAGGTATTAGGAGTATTCATTCTTCATCTATATCATCTTATTCCATTGTAGAGGTCATGAATCAATGTATTTTGTGGAATGATGTCAGGATGTTAGGAATTCATTTGTATGTTTGGTTTGTTTGGTTCAATTAATGTTATATTAATGGAATTCTCTTTGCAACAACAAATAGAAAGAAAAATAGGAATTGTTATGATGATTTGTGATACAAGATTCATTAATGTATGGAGAAATCATAAACTGTATGTGGACAGAGAACAAGGACAAGCCATGTGTTATGTCGGTCACGAGTGAGTACTAGAAGGTCAGTGTGGCCAAGATAGATTGGGGGGCCACTGTTACTAATTTTAGGATTGGTGCGTGATGGAATGGCCTGGCTAGGGTGCCACCCGACACCAAGGAGAGGAATGATATGTAGGAAGTGAGTGGCAGTTAGTAATAGTTAGCAACTGGGTACGATAAAAGTAGGTAGGAAGTAGGAAGGGCATTATATAAGTTGAAAGATGTGGTAAGGAAGTCAGTCATATGATAAGAGGCAGAGCACGTTCGTCTTATTATGTGATCCAGTACTGAAATAAACGTAAATCAAACTTCCATCCGTGTCAACTGCTCTCTTACATCCTGAACTTCTCAATACCAGAAACTCATCATAACAAAGTCGAAACTCATGCGTCTAATTTATGTGACTGACATGCACAGTCAACTGTGAGACCTTATATAGACAGGTGTGTGACTTTCCAAATCATGTCCAATCAATTGAATTTATCACAGGTGGACTCCAATCAAGTTGTAGAAACATCAAGGATGATCAATGGAAACAGGATGCACCTGAGCTCAATTTCGAGTCTCAATTCAAAGGGTCGAATACTTATGCAAATAAAGGTATTTCTGTTTTTTTAAATATATACATTTGCAAAATGTTCTAAAAACCTGTTTTCACTGTCATTATGAGGTATTGTATGTAGATTGATGAGAAAAATAAATAATTTAATCCAAGGCTGTAACGTAACAGAGAAGAGTCCCCTAAGCAAGCTGGTCCTGGGGCTCTGTTCACAAATACAAAGACCCCACAGAGTCCCAGGACAGCAACACAATTAGACCCAACCAAATCATAAGAAAACTAAAAGATAATTACTTGACATATTAGAAAGAATTTACCAAAAAGCACAGCAAACTGGAATGCTATTTGGCCCTAAACAGAGAGTACACAGTGGCAGAATACCTGACCACTGTGACTGACCCAAAATAAAGGAAAGCTTTGACTATGTCCAGACTCAGTGAGCATAGCCTTGCTATTGAGAAAGGCCGCCGTAGGCATACCTGGCTCTCAAGAGAAGACAGGCTATGTGCACACTGCCCACAAAATGAGGTGGAAACTGAGCTGCACTTCCTAACCTCCTGCCAAATGTATGACCATATTAGTGACACATATTTCCCTCAGATTACACAGACACACAAAAGAATTCGAAAACAAATCTAATTTTGATAAACACTGATTGTAAATTGTAAATATAACCCATATTTATTTTCCCTTTTGTACTTTAACTATTTGCACATCTTTATAACACTATGTCTCTATTCCTTTGAAACTTTTGTGAGTGTAATGTTTACTGTTCATCATCTATTTCACTTGCTTTGGCAATGAATTAAAAGAAAGAAAGAGAGAGCGAGAGAGAGAGAAAGCTAGAGAGCGAGAGAGGATGCCGAGGAGAGAGAGGAGAAGAGAGAGGAGAGAGGAGACTGAAAGAAGAGAGCGAGAGAGAGCCGAGAGAGCGAGCAAGGGGGGCTGGGGGGGGCTGATAGAGAGCAGGAGAGAGAGAGAGAGAGAGAGAAAGCTTAGAGAGAGAGAGAGAGAGAGAGAGAAGATGATAGATAGATGATATAGAGAGATAGAGAGAACGCTATGAGAGGAGAGAAATTCTAGAGAGCGAGAGAGAGCGAGAAGAGCGAGAGAGAGAGAGAGAGAGTAGAGAGAGAGAGAGAGAGAGAGGAGAGAGAGAGAGAAAGCTAGAGAGCGAGAGAGAGCGAGAGAAAGCTAGAGAGCGAGGAGAGAGAGAGAGAGGAGAGAGCAGAGAGAGAATAGATAGAGACGCGAGGAGAAGCGGAGCGGAGGCAGAGATAGAGGGGGAGAAAGGCAGAGAGAGAGGGGGAGAAAGGCAGAGAGAGAGGGGGAGAAAGGCAGAGAGAGAGGGGGAGAGAGAGAGGAAAAGGGAGACCGGTAGAGAGAGAGAGAGAGAGCAGGAGGCAGGTGCAAGTTACCCCAGCGTTGAGGTAGGGGGCGATCTTTCCCAGGCACACGGTGGTGTTGCAGCGGATTGGTCCCTGCTCGTCTCTCGCCTGCAGCCGTGCAAAGTGCCTCATCAGCTCCTGATTCAGATTACTCTCATTCAGCTTAGGGGCCAGCAGCAGCATGGACTGGGAGAGGGAGGAAAAGAACAAGAACAGACCTTTGGGAACACCACTAACTACAGGGAAGGAACACTTTCAGTTACACTTGAACGAAGGAGTGAGTGAAGCCATCTGGTCTTGTGAGTGTATGTTAATCACAGTCTGACAGACTGGGTGAGCCAGTTATACCTTGACAGTCTGTTCTCTGATGGCTGGGTTTGTGTCTGTGAAACCGTGAACGACATGAGGGAAGATCTGCGAGTTTACCGCCGCATCGTTTAGATACTGAATAAACTGTTCCATCTGAAGGAAATAGAGGGATGAGAAAGGGGTTTGAAAGAGGAATAAAACAAGGGTTCTGCAGCAAACACTCATTCTGTCGTAATGGCCGTCTCTGTACTCTGATGTGTGGTACACTGTACCTGTTGAAGCAGTCGTATCCTCATGGCCCGGTCTGTAGAGGAGAACATCTTCACAATGACAGGAATTATCTTCTGCTGGTACTCCTCCGCAGACAGGAACTTCCCCACCTGACAGAGACAGAAAGAAAGAGGAGACATGGAAGAAGGAATGATCTTCTGCCCTCTCGGGATCGTGAGGTGGGTTAGTGGTCTGTTGATATCCCTTTGGTGGTGTGGGGGCTGTGCTGTGGAAAAGTGGGTGGGGTTATATCCTGCCTGGTTGGATGGGTATCTGGTGTGACAACTGCTGATGTAAAAAGGGCTTTCTAAAATACATTTGATTGATGATTAGTTGCCAAAAGCATGTTTCCCCTGAAGAAATGCCTTTAACCTAAACCCCTTCTAATGATTATGCTTTACATAGATATGACATAGTTTTCCCACTTCTGCATAAAAGAGAGGAGCAATTCAATGCCAGGCCAGTGAGCCATTCTCCTATCTGAATCCCTCCTCTCTGCCTCCACAGCACACATACCTTAAACAGAGGTGTGAGGACGACAGCCCCGGCGTTGCCAAACTCAAAGGCGGTGAGTAGCTGTGGCAGCACTTTGTGCTTACAGAAGTCCTCTGGGAATGAGTCCAGGTTCTCACTCAGGTCATGAAAGAACTGCTGCTTCTCTGCTGGGTCTTTGATCTGGATCAGATAGAATAGATAAGATAGATTTCACACTTCACTAAATAAAACATTTTATCGGTAAGTCAACACATTTCAATGAGAGCTGTGTCATCTCTATTGTGTCAAACTTTTTCTATAGCGGGGACGGGGGTCAGGAATCGCACCTGGATCTCCTCTAGGAAAAGGTTGCTCTCCACGAAGCTGTTGCTAAGGAATCCTCCGGGAGCTCTGCAGTTCTGGAGGAAGCGGGCTGGGTTAGGCCGGGCCCTGGCGTTGGCCCCTACCAGCTCACAGTAGTGAGGCACCAATGCTTTAGGGATCTGAGGGACAACAAACCATAATATGTTTTCACATCACTTCCAATTAATTCATGACCTTTGATCTTTTTGACAGGAGTACATTAGAATCACTTTAGGATTTCCTTAAAATGTGTGATGCTCTGGTAAAATGTTAGAAGGTAAACGGTGGGGGAGTAGGGTACCTTTCCGAGGGAGCGTAGGGAGGAGGCTCGGGGCAGTGGACCATTGAACACTTCCCAGATTAGACAGCCCAGCCGCCACACATCCCCAGCCCTGGAGGACAGAGAGATGGATTCAGACAATACAAATATGAAGTATCTTCAGATTACATCAAGCATTGAACTAAAAACTTTGTATGCGAGATACCAGGAATACAATTTGCCATGAAATCAGTCTTTTTCATTCTTAACTCATTCTCGGTCTGCCTTACCATTTCTCTCCACTGTTTGGTGATTCAGGGGGGTCGTATTTGTCCATGTCAGGGTGAACAGCTTTGGCGGAGGGTAGTGATGTGGAGGCGTCCCCGTTCTCAGGGGTCATGTGGTCCAGACCGCCAAGCTTCCATTCTCCAGCCCGGTCCACAAACACAGCCCAGATACCCAGGTTGTTGTGGAGGAGGTGGCAGTCATTCACCAGGAAACTAAGGGCTTTCTACAAAGGGGAAATAGAGTGTGTGAGAGATGATTTGATTAATTATTTGCCTGTATTTGATTTGATATAGATTGATATGTAATAAACATGATGTGTGGGAAGACGCAGACAGATGCATTCTTTTGAGGAAAGTTAGTCTACAATCATCTGTTGTAACTGAGTACTGCTGTTCCTACCTTTGACCTGTTAAACTGCCAGTATCAAATGTCTGCCAGTGTTGAATGCTATGGTTAAAGTTTGACGCCATTCTGGGCCGGGGACACACTGATAATATATCTGTGAACCTGTTTGATTCTGTAGCAGCTGATGTTGTGACTTCATATGAGCCTTTTGGGCTGGTGTTTAGAGAACATTCAGTGCTATGTGATTAATATATAAGGGCCTTCTCAGAGAAGATGGAAAGTCATCTTTCCATTGAGTAAGAGATTGATAGAGAGAAAGGAGGATAATGGAGTAGAGGTGGAAGAGGATTGTTAAAGGACAAGCAGCACTCAACATACAGAAACACATGAGGAAATTAGAGCACCCATCTCCCTCCAGTCTACTGACCACGGTCTGATGCAGGCCCCAGGACACCTCTAGCTCCCCAGAGCCCCCCCTCTCTGACTGGGCCTTCAGGTGGGCTGCCAGGGGGGTGACCTGTTCTGTGACCAGGTACAGGCTCTTCTCTGTCTGCAACGCACCAGAAAGGGACAACATTAATGCATTCATGATGACTTGGTTAAAATGTGCATTAGTCTTTTAAGTATGGTTCTATTATACAGGGAGTACACTAACGACTAGCACACTAGCTCCTGTTTCTCTCTAGAACTGGTAGACAGGGGAACTAACTGATACTCACCACACTCTGCATGAAAAACAATTACAAGAAAAACAAATACAGAAGACTGAGAAAATGGTGACAGAATGAGTGTTATGCAATACTGTTTGCCTTTTAAATATCAACTAAATTCTGATGTTATGCTATTTGCATTTGGGGTGAAATACACAGACCTCCAATCCATCTACATAGGCCAGGATGTTGGGATGTCGGAGGGTCTTCATGCGTTTGAACGCTGCCTTGGCTAGCTGGGTCTGTTCCTCTGTCCCCGAAGACACCTCGTACACAAACACCGATACTGGTTCCCCACCCGTCTAAGGAGATGTCATAATGTGACAATGTCATGTTTCGTCATTGGTAAGAGGAGAGATGTTATTGAGATTTAGGAGAGCAAAAGTTACAGTCTCCCTGGTGAGGCCAGAGACCTCCATCACACTCACAGGAGTGGTGTTGTTCAACCCTGTTCCTTGCAATAAGGGTTGCTGTCATGTCACCATACAATTTGTCTCAGTCAACTAGCTACCTATTTCAGGTGAAACACAGAACGACACCTACACACGTACGTCATCAAAGGTTCCACCATTACATCTGCATGGCATTGAACAATAAGGAAAAGGAACAAACAATGCTAAGCGGAACCTTTGATGACAAATTAGCCGGATAACGTTAGCATCTAGCTACTGTTAGTTAGTTACCAGTCAAAACAAGAATGACATGACAGATTGTCGAAATACATTTCGCATGAGCATGTAAGTGGCTGACGTTGCTAGCTCGTTAGGTGACAACAGTGGCTAGCTAGCGAACTAGTTACTGTAGCAGAGATTGACGTGGCGAGAATACGTGGCCCAGCATAAACAAAATATAGTTAGCTAGCTAGCTATACTAGCCTAGTAGTAACGTTCGCTAACCGTGCTGTTTTAACTAGGCGATACATATCCTCACAACGCTATATATTTATATATATATATATATATAGTCATACATCGTGATAATCTTATGGCAATTAAACATCCATTTCATCCCAAAAATAAGAATGGCGTCCTGCCTTGAACTTGTATCAGCTAACAAGACATCTGTCAAATATATTTCTGCCCCAACTATTGTATTTACCTTTCGCTTGCCCCGATGCAGCGTCCATATTCCGGACGTTTCTTGAGTGTCCGGTAAAATGTCATAATTAAAGTCTTTGACTGGATCCCGAGCGAAAAAGGACCACATCTCTCCTACATCAAGCAAACAACTAGCTATGGCGAACCGCAGCCTGCTAGCAAGCTGGCTACTCGGGATAGATCAGATCCTTCCCTGAAGTTGATTCCACCGCTTGGGGGAAGCAGAGTGCCATAGTGGCACCCTGGCTACTGTAAGCAGTGGGTGGTTCAAATGTTGACTTTCTTCCTGAATGTATATTTCAGTACCGGTAAATAAATCCACTGGCTCTTCTAAGTGATCATGGGACCTATTTGTATTTATTATGGATCCCCATTGACTTCATCACTACTTGTGTTCATGTTGGGTGCACCGAGCTGTCTGTTTGAGCTACTGGCGCACAGCTCGGTCACCCATGCATACCCCACAAGACATGCCACCAGAGGTCTCTTCACAGTCCACAAGTCCAGAACAGACTATGGGAGGCGCACAGCTGTGCTCAGCTGGTAGAGCACGGCGCTTGTAACGCCAAGGTAGTGGGTTCGATCCCCGGGACCACCCATACACACAAAAAAAAATTATGCACGCATGACTGTAAGTCGCTTTGGATAAAAGCGTCTGCTAAATGGCATATTATTATTATATTATTATAGAGACATGACTACATGGAACTCTATTACACATCAAGTAACTGATGCAAGTAGTAAAATTAGATTTAAAAAACATATCAACAGTACAACAATTCATGTGTGTGTATAGTGCGTATGTTATCATGTGTGTGTATGCATGTGTCTGCATCTATGTTTGTGTTACTTCACAGTCCCTGCTGTTCCATAAGGTGTTTTTTTATCTGTTTTTTAAATCTAATTTTACTACTTGTATCAGTTACTTGATGTGGAATAGACTTCCATGTAGTCATGGCTCTATGTAATACTGTGCGCCTCCCTTAGTCTGTTCTGGACTTGGGGACTGTGAAGAGACCTCTGGTGGCATGTCTTGTGGGGTATGCATGGGTGACCGAGCTGTGCGCCAGTAGCTCAAACAGACAGCTCGGTGCACCCAACATGTCAACACCTCTCATAAACACAAGTAGTGATGAAGTCAATCTCTCCTCCACTTTGAGCCAGGACAGATTGACATGCATATTATTATTAGCTCTCTGTGTACATCCAAGGGCCAGCCGTGCTGCCCTGTTCTGAGCCAATTGCAATTTTCCTAAGTCCTTTTTTGTGGCACCTGACCACACAACTGAACAGTAGTCCAGTTGTGACAAAACTAGGGCCTGTAGGACCTGCTTTGTTGATAGTGCTGTTAAGAAGGTAGAGCAGCGCTTTATTATGGACATACAGTGGGGGAAAAAAGTATTTAGTCAGCCACCAATTGTGCAAGCTCTCCCACTTAAAAAGATGAGAGAGGCCTGTAATTTTCATCATAGGTACACGTCAACTATGACAGACAAATTGAGACTTTTTTTTCCAGAAAATCACATTGTAAGATTTTTAATGAATTTAGTTGCAAATTATGGTGGAAAATAAGTATTTGGTCACCTACAAACAAGCAAGATTTCTGGCTCTCACAGACCTGTAACTTCTTCTTTAAGAGGCTCCTCTGTGCTCCACTTGTTACCTGTATTAATGGCACCTGTTTGAACTTGTTATCAGTATAAAAGACACCTGTCCACAACCTCAAACAGTCACACTCCACTATGGCCAAGACCAAAGAGCTGTCAAAGGACACCAGAAACAAAATTGTAGACCTGCACCAGGCTGGGAAGACTGAATCTGCAATAGGTAAGCAGCTTGGTTTGAAGAAATCAACTGTGGGAGCAATTATTAGGAAATGGAAGACATACAAGACCACTGATAATCTCCCTCGATCTGGGGCTCCATGCAAGATCTCACCCCGTGGGGTCAAAATGATCACAAGAACGGTGAGCAAAAATCCCAGAACCACACGGAGGGACCTAGTGAATGACCTGCAGAGAGCTGGGACCAAAGTAACAAAGCCTACCATCAGTAACACACTACGCCACCAGGGACTCAAATCCTGCAGTGCCAGACGTGTCCCCCTGCTTAAGCCAGTACATGTCCAGGCCCGTCTGAAGTTTGCTAGAGTGCATTTGGATGATCCAGAAGAGGATTGGGAGAATGTCATGTGGTCAGATGAAACCAAAATATAACTTTTTGGTAAAAACTCAACTCGTCGTGTTTGGAGGACAAAGAATGCTGAGTTGCATCCAAAGAACACCATACCTACTGTGAAGCATGGGGGTGGAAACATCATGCTTTGGGGCTGTTTTTCTGCAAAGGGACCAGGACGACTGATCCGTGTAAAGGAAAGAATGAATGGGGCCATGTATCGTGAGATTTTGAGTGAAAACCTCCTTCCATCAGCAAGGTTATTGAAGATGAAACGTGGCTGGGTCTTTCAGCATGACAATGATCCCAAACACACCGCCCGGGTAACGAAGGAATGGCTTCGTAAGAAGCATTTCAAGGTCCTGGAGTGGCCTAGCCAGTCTCCAGATCTCAACCCCATAGAAAATCTTTGGAGGGAGTTGAAAGTCCGTGTTGCCCAGCGACAGCCCCAAAACATCACTGCTCTAGAGGAGATCTGCATGGAGGAATGGGCTAAAATACCAGCAACAGTGTGTGAAAACCTTGTGAAGACTTACAGAAAACGTTTGACCTGTGTCATTGCCAACAAAGGGTATATAACAAAGTATTGAGAAACTTTTGTTATTGACCAAATACTTATTTTCCACCATCATTCGCAAATAAATTCATAAAAAATCCTACAATGTGATTTTCTGGATTTTTTTTTCTCATTTTGTCTGTCATAGTTGACGTGTACCTATGATGAAAATTACAGGCCTCTCTCATCTTTTTAAGTGGGAGAACTTGCACAATTGGTTGCTGACTAAATACTTTTTTCCCCCACTGTACTTCTCCCCATCTTAGCTACTGTTGTATCAATGTTTTGACCATGACAGTTTACAATCCAGGGTTACTCCAAGCAGTTTAGTCTCCTCAACTTGCTCAATTTCCACATGATGTATTACAAGATTTAGTTGAGGTTTAGGGTTTAGTGAATGATTTGTCCCAAATACAATGACTAACTTATTCCTTGCCACCCACTCTGAAACTAACTGCAACTCTTTGTTAAGTGTTGCAGTCATTTCAGTCGCTGTAGTAGCTGACATGTATAGTGTTGAGTCATCCGCATACAGACACTGGCTTGACTCAAAGCCATTGGCATGTCATTAGTAAAGATTGAAAAAAGTAATGCCTAGACCGCTGCCCTGGGGAATTCCTGATTATGTTGGAGGCTTCCATTAAAGAACACCCTCTGTGTTCTGTTAGACAGGAAACTGTGTCCTATGGGCCTGTCGGTTTACATTTTAGTCAATTAACAGACGCTCTTATCCAGAGCGACTTACAGTAGTGAGTGCACTTTTTTCCAGTACTGGTCCCCGTGGGAATTGAACCCACAAACCTGGTCGTTGCAAGCGCCATGCTCTACCAACTAAGCCACACGGGACCTGTTTGTATATTCAGTAATAAATGAGAGAAGCAGTATATGAGACGCGCTGAATGTTCTGTGCGGTTGTACTCCTGACATGCACCATTGCCTCTGGTACAGTGCTGATCTGTAACAGGCCTTCTAGGGACAAGACTCCCTTGAGTTTTTATAAAAACAAAAAGCACATCGAGACGTGTAACCCAAATAAAGCCAGTGAAATTGAAAGGTCAAGATTGAAGGCAAGTTTTAATTGTAATGATAGGACACATTTTGTACAGTTAATTGATTTTATGTTCATACAGTAAATGACACCATTTCCAACAGTTCTCTCATGTCTCGAATCGCAAGTCATGATCCTCATACCCAACCAATAGACTAAACCCCCCCCAAAAATCCAGTCGAAAATTCCAGTTTCTCCTGACGTTCAAGCATAGTTGGTTGTGTAATTGAGACAATTGTTTGAATATATGTAAAATGTCAAAAGATTCATCTCTGCATATCGGAACACCAGGATTAATAAAGATGACTGATATTCACCCTTTGTCGTGAGGGGTGCATACTAAACAGGGTTCATACACATTTCGACAGATGGCATTTCATGACTTTTACCCACATTTCCATGACCAACAATTGGCGGCGTCTATGTACGTATATATATTTAAAAAAAGTATATGTAATGTGGTATTGACAGTGGGATGCTGCTCTCTGATCCCATGTACCATCTCCTGTCATTGCGCAAGGCTCTTAACCCCCCACAAAGTAGAATACCGGTTATAAAGTGGGTGGTTTGAGCCTTGAATGCAGATTGGCTGACTGCCGTGGTATATCAGTACATATACCACAGGTATGACAAAACATTTATTTTTACTGCTCTAATTACATTGGGAACCAGTTTATAATATCAATAAGGCACCTCTGGGGTTTGTGGTATATGGCCAATATAACATGGCTAAGGGCTGTATCCAGGCACTCCGCGTTGCTTCGTGCTTAAGAACAGCCCTTAGCCGTGGTAAATTGGCCATATACCACACCCCCTTAGGTCTTATTGCTTAATTAGACAACTGTATAAAACACGTGGTCAACCCACAGTCTGGAGCGCTACTGGGTGTGCAAGCCATTCTGATCAAGCCCTGCTGCTGAAACACATCAGAGCCAGTTTATCAAGGTCCGATTGAGCAGCTAATTTCTCAAATATGGTTTGTTAGAGGGGGACTGGAATAAAAACCTGCACAACCATTAGCTCTCCTGGCGTAGCCTATAGGACCTGGTTCAAATTATAACTTTCACACTCAACATAGCCACTTCATATGCGCACCCACGCCAGAATGGGAAAAATATCATTTCCATTTTATTAAGCTAAATTCAATTATATTCTTCTTACTATAAAATCATATACACTGAACAAAAATATAAAACGCAACATGTATAGTGTTGGTCCCATGTTTCATGAGCTGAAATAAAAGAGCCCAGAAATTTACCATACACAAAAAGCTTATTTCTCTCCAATTTTGTGCACCTCCCTGTTAGTGAGCATTTCCCCTTTGCCAAGATAATCCATCCACCTGACAGGTGTGGCATATCAAGATGATTAAACAGCATGATCATTACACAGGTGCACCTTGTGCCGGGGACAATAAAAGGCCACCAAAATGTGCAGTTTTGTCACAACAATGCCACAAATGTCTCAAGGGAGCGTGCAATTGGCATGCTGACTGCAGGAATGTCCACCAGAGCGGTTTTAGAGAATGTAATTTTCATTTCTCTACCATAAGCCGCCTCCGTCATTTCAGAGAATTTGGCAGTACGTC